GAGCACTGCAGGAGACCTCTGAATAAATACACGAATGAACACAGCACCCTAGTGACTACTCAAGCCAGACTCCTGGGCAGAGTCTTTCTGCTTCATTATCCCTCCAAGTAGTCATAAAGCCCATGCCCACCACGGTCCTTCAGGCTCTGCTTCTTCCTTCCTGGGCCAAGGCCGGCATCTGGGCCACCCTCAATCTTTGCTGAGTTGCATCGCCTGGTGTCACCTCCCACCAGTTCACACTACATGAGCCACACCCAGGTGCTGCCTCTTAACACAGATTTCTGGGCTCTGCTCCCACCACGAGTCAGAGTCTGTAAGGCAGGAGCACGAGCATTTTTGTTTGCTTGTTTAGGAATGTGCATTTTAAACAAGACCCGAGGCAAAGATGATCTAAGCATTCAGATGTCCACATTCTGGGAAACAGAACTGGGCTGTGCCCTCTCCAATATGCCAACTGCATGGTGGTGCCTCTGCAGCTGGGGCTCCCTCTTGCTTTGTCTCTGCACAGCCTCCATCTTCCAGGGACACACTTCTCCAGTGCCCTCTTCAACAACTCCCACCCTCCCTCAAGGAAGACATCCTCTGCCCTACTCTCCCTAAAGTATGGCCTCAAATGTTCCCTGACTCCCTAGACCAGCCAGGATTCTTGTCCTCTGTCCGGCCGCACACACATGATCGTCATTCACTTAATACATGTCGGGGTTACTATGTGCCAGACACTGCACCACATGTTACAGAATCCTTTACCAACTCTACCAGTCAAGGGTCCATCTTTTCTGAAAGGAAACTGAGGCACTGAGAAGACAAACTGCTTCTCTAAGCTCGGAAATCTGGTTTGCAATCAGGCTCCAGGATCCTTGCTCTGTGGGCTCTACCATGCCCCACCCCTTGCCCATGCCCCACCCCTTGCCCATGCCCACCCCTTGCCCATGCCCCACCCCTTGCCTGCCCAGCACTATAGAGCTTCTGATGCACCTCCATTGGTCAGTGAGCTGCCTGTGGTTCCAGGGGGTCTGAACTCCTAGCCCTGTGACAACTCAAGAATGTTAGCTAAAGAACAAGCTCACATACTCCATACTGCATCAATAAGGAATGATAAAAACTAATAAACTTTAGAGTTTAGAGTGTAAAGACACGAAATGTGATTGGGACCAATGACCATCCTGACACTATGCCCTTTAGAGAGTGACCTTCAGGGTGTGCTGACTCCTGTGGGGAGAATACACCACCCAAGCCACCTTGACCTGGCACTGAGTCCTCAGAAGCTCCACGTCATGACCAGTGCAAATCCGTCTCTGTGTCCATTCAGGTTATACAGAACAGGCCAACGCCTCACCCAGAGAAGACACTGCAGACATCGCAGACCCCTAAGACAGTACTGGCTTTCACTACTGTAGGTGGAGGATGCCTCCCAGATATGAGTAAGCACCACAGAGACTAACTGTCAGCCAGTGCACTCTGATTAAAAGGGTTAGGGTTAGGGTTAATCAGGGTTAAGGTTAGGTTTAGGGTTAAGTTTTCTTTCAGCAAACAGCTGAAGTAACATTAGCCCTGACCACCTTCTGGGATGCCAAAATACCATGACCATGTACACTGGCAGGACTCTGGTTACCTTACAGACTTATGGTCAGTATGCTTTCTGTGAGCCAAGGGTTTTCCCAAAAGCTCTCAACCAACCTTGAGAGACAATAATAATCAGCTCTGTTTTACAGAAGAAACAGCAGCTTCCATGAGCCAGGGGCTTTCCCAGAAGTCTAAGTTCTCATACCAGTTTTGCAAAGAAGCAGTAGGTAACTAAGAGGGTTCCACGAACCAAGCCTTTTCCAGAAGTGCCTGCTCTCATACCAGCCTTGCAAAATTACGATGATTAACTGTCTTACAGAGGAAGACGCAGAGGACCCAGCTGCTCGATGAGGAAGCTAACATTCAAATCAAGGCCACAACTTCAGAGCCTGTGTGTGCCTGCCACACAGCCATTTGGGGAGTGCCAGCAAGAACATGGAGAAATGGGCACAAAACACACAGAGAAGGAATGCTGCCGAGGAGGAATGGGCGATTATATATGCACAGACAAAGCAGAAACGAACGATTCAGAGGTCTTCATTCCCTAATTATCTTCCAGTGTTCTAACAAAGGATCCTTGAATTTGAAAAGTTATTTTCCCACTGTACATAATAAGGAACTGAAAATATTTTGAATGAAAGAAAGAAAGGAAGGAAGAAAGAAAGGAAGGAAGGAAGGAAGGAAGGAAGGAAGGAAGGAAGAAAGAAAGAAAGAAAGAAAGACCTCAAGTAACTTCAGTAAGGAGCATATGGAGGTCATTAGCATTCTGGAGGATGTGCTGAGATCCTATAGACAGCACGGTATGCTGCATGGGCCCCTTCCCCAGTGCCTCCGCCTCTACAGTGCCGAGCACAGCACATACTTAATAGTGCTTGTGGCCCGACGACTCACGTTCACTGCCCACACGAAGACGAGCTTGTTTTAATAATCCCATTTCTCAATCCTAACCTGCATCAAATCATTTCCATCTCCAAAACATCAACAGGAAAAGTTACCAATGAGATGTTGTAAGACACGCAGTGGTTCTGAAGAACGAAACCACATTTTGTACATAAAGCACACACAGAAAGTTAGAGTTGATAAACGTCAACTATATTGTTTCAAATAATAATACCGCCAACATGGCATCCAAAAGATTTGTCAAAAGGAGCAATTAAGACAAAGCCTGTTTATTTCTGGGTAAGAACAAAAGCATGAACCAATCTCTGTTTTGTTGATCATGAAGTTTCTTACACTATAATAATAAGCAATCAATAAAGCAGCCAAATAAATAAAGCAAATAACTGCCATTTCTACAGAAAGAGGCAGGTACCAAAGTCACAGTTTACCTAGAACGAGAAAGGCAGCCCGGACGTCCATTTCTTAAGCTTTCTGAACTGCAAGGTACTCCAGAGTAAAGAGCTCGGGTCCAGCCGGCCAATTTATTCTGCAAAATTTTCCTTAAAAAAGTGTGGCTGAAAAGCCGCCCTCTTAACACAGACGGACATTCAGAAGCGTTGCACAAGCGAGACACACAGGGCCATTCAGTGCCACACAGGCCAGCTCATGCGAGGTGCCTGGGGAACACAAGTCAGCCACATTCGCCTAACCCGCCCGGGGATCAGGACAAATCTCAGGCTGACTGCAGGTCCCACCTCCTTCACTGAACGATGGAAACTTTCCAATGAAAAGCTATAAACAATGAAACCACTGAAAGCCAAAAGCCACTTTTTGGAAGGATTTCTATTTTTGCAGGTTGTTAGCCATCTGGAGTATTTTTGCATGTCTATGGTCACCTTCTCTTGACCACCTCCAATACTGGAAAGATGAAATAAGTATTTTTAAGCCCCTTCATGGTCAGAATAGCTTGTTACGTGCACAGAGGTGAGTCTAACCATATACCACCCTGGAGGTAAATCAGGCAAGCCTGCTCAAAGCTTTCTTTCTTCAAACCAGCCCTCCTGAGGCCAACTGTCCCCACACTCCTGTGCACGCACCACATCCCACTGACTGAGCCACCTGCTCCTTTCTGCCCCTCCAAGTGAAACAGAAATGGCCCCTCCCCACTGGGCTCCTGGGGATGACATATACTTGTATCCAACCCACCAGGGTGAGGTGGTAAAACAGAGAAGTCAGGTGGCAGCAAACACATAGTTCTCAGTATTTTATCAGCACCTCCTCAGTTTCCAGTACATGGAATCCAAAGGAAAGGAAGATGCTTTCAGAGTGGACATTCATTCATTCTTTCATTCATTCAGAGATGTCTACTCTGTACAGGGCATGTGGGGTCCCGAGATACACAGGGAAGCTGCATGACCAGCAAAAGGGAGCTGGCTCAGGAAATCCTGATGCTCACCTCAGAAGCATCCACCCTTGGGAGCAATGAAAGTATCCAGAGGAGGCAAGGGTTGAAAGGACGGAAAGAGGACGGGGGACCAGCTGGCCAGGGCAGGGTGGTAGGGGTGAGCACAGGGCAAGACTGGTTCTTTGGAAAGGCCAAGCAGAGGGTGGGACACAGGATGGTGGACCACCACTGGAGGGCTGCAATCAAGGAGACACTGGAGCAGGATTTGAGCTCCAAGATAGCCCCTCTCATGGCAAGTGTGGGGAGCACAGATTTGGGGTACAGTGTGAGCATAAAGATCCAGTGAAAAGTGAGGGTTGGGGAGGCCCACAGATGAGCTTCCCCAGAGAGTCCTTACTGTACTACCTGGGACCTCCCATGGGTAGCTTCTGCCTCAAGGGGCCAGGATTCATACCAGTGACCCAATTTCCCCACCCTATCCTGAGCTACTCCAGCCCCATCAGTGACTGAATATAAAATGGCCACCTGGTCCTCAAGGAACCAAATGCCTCTGCTCAGCATGGGAAATCAAGAAGGATCCTCTCTACCTTGGGATGAATGGCAAAGAAAATTGTAGGAATAAGCAAGCAGCTTAGGAATATACATAAGAGTTCAAAGAATGTATCCCAAGGGGGCTAGAGAGATGGCTCAGTGGTTAAGAGCACCGACTGCTCTTCCAGAGGTCCTGAGTTCAATTCCCAGCACCCACATGGTGGCTTCACAACCATCTGTAATGGGATCTGATGCCCTCTTCTAGTGTGTCTAAAGACAGCTATAATGTACTCATATATAATAAATAAATCTTTAAAAAAAAAAAAAAGAATGTATCCCAAGGCTGGTGTGAGTGTGGTGGCACATGCCCAGGAGGCTGAAGAAGGAGGGTCATTGGGTTGAGACTAGTCTGGAGGGTCATTGGGTTGAGACTAGTCTGGCTACAGAGACCTAGATTCAAAGAAAGAAAAGATGTCAGTTTAGGACTCCTGCTTGCAACTGTTCACTGTGGGCACCAACAATGCACAAGCTCCAGGTTTTCCTCACTGCCCACACCCGGGCCCTCAGTTTACCAGTGAAGCCACCTTCTCTCCTGTGACCCTCAAGCCCCCTCTATACTTACAGAACTGCAGGCTGAGGCTCAGGAAAGCCAACAGCCCAGCCAGGGCCAGCAGCACCAAGAAGCGATTACGGTAAAGCATTATTATGTGTTCTACGTTCTCTTCATGGTTTCACCTCCAATCCGGAACCCGTCCTGTGGAGAAAGCAAATGCAAGAAACATGTGTTCAAGGAGAAAGTCGAGTGTGTCACCCGGAAGTAATCCAGTTAGCCCATTCACTGGAAGGAAGGCTTGCATCCGAGCGGGAGGATAAGCACTTGCTCTCTAAGTCTTTGCCCCAGATAAGCCCAAGGATGTAGGAGGAGCTAAGGGGGGAGGAGTAAGGAGAGGAAGAGGAGGAGTAGGAAGGAAGAGGAGGACTAGGAGAAAGAGAACAGAGATAGAAGGAAACATGGAGGCAGATGTTTACGTGTCTCTAGCAGTTGAAAGTATATCTAGGTTGGGTATTGGGTTACACTTCTGATTGTATGGGCATCTTGTTATTGAGCATTACCAAACTTATAAAGCCTTTGATTAACACTTAAGCATTAGAGTCTCAGTTTCCTACTGGGCCCACATGCATGGCAGGTTGGTCTGGGCAATGCCCAGCCTTGTGGAGACAGCGTGGAAGATTGACAGAGCCATCTCCCACGCTGGTGTCTTGTGGGTGGCAGGGCTGGTGTTAGCTGTGGCACGCACGTGGCCTCCGGCTGTGAAACATGGCAAAGCTGCTGCAGCTCTTAGATAGTCAGCTTGACCAGGTTTTAAATAATTACAGCAACACAAGGAGAACACTCTTTGAAGTGAAAAGGGCTTGCTAGTCCTCCCCTCATCTGCTGCCATCCATAGGTGAAGAGATGTTTACAGACATGGCATTCTCGAGAGAAGTGCAGAGGATGTTCACTGGGCATGTACGTCACAGACAACAAATCCTGCATACGAACCAGCTCACCCCATTATAACCTCAAACACTGAAGTCTTCAACCTTTTGATGAATTGTTTGCCAACATGACCTTGATCACAAATCGTAATCTGGGTATCAGCCATTGCAATGTGTCCCATAATACTGCTTTCAGGGATGCTGGGTGTGCTCCTATACTAACCTGCCTCATTGGCTACTACTCAGAGGCGTCACCCACTCCAGACCAGACTTGGCTGAAGTCTGCAGTCTTCCGCTGGTCCCCCTCCCCCATTCTAATCTCTTCCAACCATATTAGAAATATGTAACAGAATTTTTCTTTTTAAATACTGAGTAAGATCCTTAATTTTCCATCCATGAAAAAAAGGTACTGTAATATTCCACCAGCCTTACATGTGGAGTTCTGTTTATTATTTGTGTTGGGGGTGGAGCGGTGCACGTGGCATAGGGCATCTGTGCAGGTCAGAGGACAACCGTGTGCTGTCAGTTCTTTCTTTCCATCTTGACAGGAGTCCTGGAAATTGAACTCAGGCCACAAGGGGCACCCCTGCCTAGTGAGCTGTCTCACTGGCACACTGGGCTTACTTTCTGGTTCTCACTGGGATTTTAAGTAGAATCTGTAAACTATATTTCCTTAGAAAACATTCTTAAGATTCTAACAATAGGTTTATAATAGCTATTACAGACGAGTCTTTACGCACTTCAAATACAATTTCCCACAGAGCCCGAACCGACAGAACCAGACAGAAGCTAGCATACTAGTGTGAGGATGGCATAACTGAATGTTCCGGGGCCACTGATTTGCTCCCTGGGGTGAGGCACATGCATGTGAGCTGGTTCAATAATTTTCTTTATGAAAAAGTAGATCTGTTGGGACTGAGGCAGGAGCCAGAACCCTGCACCCCTCGCTCCCACCCTCATCCCTTGGATGTGCACCACTCCTTCAGGAAGGGACCTATCAGAATTTCATTTAAGGGGAGATCTTTTGCTACAAGACAAATTAAAATCCACGCACCCCTCACAGAAGACCACCGGTGCCCCTCATCTGTAGGAAACACCTTGGCGGCCCCTTCCAGGCAGTAGACAATCTTCACTGCATTCTTCCAGGGACCAGGGACTTCGAACTGCTCACAACCATCCATTTCCAGAGGTTTCTATTCACTAAGAGGGTGCATCTTGTTCACACTTTGCTAGGTTGGTGAGTGCATTTCTAATGCACAGACAGAAAACTGAAGCTTGTGAGTGGGAAATTACTAAGAGGATGGTGTCAGGGTGAGAGGCGATGTTTCTGTAGCTCTAGGGTTCTTTCTTATGGGTTACAGTGTCTCCTACACATCTACACACTGATTCTAGTCAAAGCCTGTTGACAACACAGGCCAAGTTCACTCTCAGTGTCAGAACTTCTGTGCCTCCTTTGTATGGTCATGGGTCTCAGAGCCCCTTGGCGCTTAGTCTTTCCTGACTGGGTTGGTTCTATCGATGACCTAATACAATGATTCTCATGTGGAGATTTGTTTGCTTGTTTATTTTTTACAGGTATCACCATGTAGCCCAGGGGCTGGCTTCAAACTTACAATCCACTTATTTCATTCTCCTGGCTAATAGAATGTTGTCACTCAAGCCTTGGCAATTCTTTTAATTTGGGGAGCGAGGGAGACAAGAAAAGACTGTGGGATGGGAAGGAAGGCTTAGAGCATCTTTTGTACCATCAAGTGAAGTGGGGCTTTTCTTCATGGTTTCTTCTGACATCTTTTATGGCTGATACCATCTTTGAACATTCTCCTCCTCTACATGCCTGTCTTTTAGAGCTCCTGCCCTGGAGGCAGCACTGGGGTCTTCCTAAGTTCTATTGTTAGAAGGATCCTACAGGCCTGGTTGCCTAATGATGCTACGTCTTGTGTAACATCAGCAGCAGCCTGCAGCAGAGAAAGGGCTGGGTGGGTGTCTAGGGTCAGACACATACAAGCTTGGTGACTGACCCAGCTACTTTACCTCCCTGAGGCAGTTTCTCACCAGGAAATTGGACTAATTGCCTCAGGGTGTTGTGTGGACCAAATCCCAGGCTAAGTACAATCCTTGGCATGTAGGAGACAATCCAGAGAAAATGGCTGTTAGGAGCCATTTCACCTACACACTCTGTGATCCATTCCCTCTAGGGAAACAGTTTAGGATGGAGTTTCTTCACTCATTTTTCCTGGGTTCCTGTTGGATGGGTGAATATTCAGCATTCTTGTGTTCTTACCCACATCTCTCCCTCTGCTGCTCTGCCTCAGATCTGGCCCTCAGGACTCTTGCTCTGGGCTGGAATCTCCCTGTGCTGGAGTGAAAGCTGTCCTTCCTGATTCTTGGGTCCAGATGGCATCTCTTGTTCCAGTGTCACCTATGCTAGAACTGCTGTTTGGCAGCCCCATGTCTGGATGCAGGAGACAATGACTTCCTTTGGCTTCTGGGCTCCATCTGGCCCTTCATTAGCTCTCTGCCTCCAGCCTCTTGGGGGATTTCTCACCTCAGTGACTGGCAGAACAGACTGCTAGAACTGCTGCATGCATCCCACAGGTTTTCTTGACACTGACGTTTCCTCAGGAATTCACCACAGTGTGGCTCAGAGCTGTCTTCAGGTGGGTGTCAGGTAGCAACAACTGCTACTTGCTGAGCTAAATCCAGGTTTGCAGCATGATATATTTCTTAGAGCAATGGCTTCCACTTCGTGCTTTTTCTGTATCCTCGGACTGATGACACAAGTTCTCAAACTGACTCCCAGTTTAGCCAGGAGATTTGTTTCAGACAATGGGAAAACAGCAGATGAGTTGCATGCAGGGGCTTGAACCGATTGGAACTGGGCTCTGAGAGGATTTCCAGGCTTATCTGCTGGAGGAACCAACACAATGGCGCCTGCTGAGACTTTCTCCAACAACCAATCTGTCAATCATTGTACATGAATGAGGGAACCCTAGACTTCCAGCTCAGCCAAGCCTGCAGACATCTATGATCAGCGTAATCCATCCAAGTCCAGTCTGGAGGTTTTGGGAACTTGATACAAAGTAAAAGCTAACTGACAGAAAAGAGGGGAAAAATGCCCTACATCTTTCCCAGAGAACACACCAGGATTTGCACACCAGGATTTTCTCGATGCCACCCTCTATCCTGTCCACAGTTTTCAACGTGCTGAGCACATCTGGAGAAAGGGGCTGTATTTAGGTTCAGACCTAAAACACAGAGGGTATGTTGGGTTGACCAGATGGCTGGGCTCCTGTAACTGCCCTGTAGCTTCTAATCTCTGGATTGCTGTCATTCCTGCCTACCCTGACTGCGGTAAACATGTGGGAACATGCCCTGTGTTTCTCCTCCACTCCCCTTGACCAGGTTTCTGTGCCCTATCTGACTCTCCAGCAAGATCAGGTCTTGTTGGTTCCCCTATGCTGGGTCACATCGTTGAGCTCAGCACATAGTCCAGCTTGAGGTTGCCTAAACACTGAGACAGACACATGACATCTTCTGGGGTCCATTTCATTCTCTGGAGTCCACTTCAGTAGCAAATGTGGGGATGGAGACTATGTGCTGTTCTTAGTTCTAAAAATGGCTAAATAATGTTGAAAGAACCTAAAGTCTGCAGGGATTTGAAGACAGTGGTTTACAGTTATAGCTAAAATGCCAAAGGGTCAGTGATGCTTGTCAGTGGGAAATGGCAGTGGCACTGCTCTGCTGAACCGAACGTATTACCATAGCAAGTATTCCCTGCTGGAGTCCAGGATGCAGCCTTGGTTATCCAATACTCTCTTCCCTGTTTGCTATGGCAGCCAGGAGGCTAAGGGAGGCCCTTGATAAATCATGCTGGGCTTCCTTCCTGCAATCTTCATGCACATGCCTCTGCAGGAGCTCTGTGTGCACTGCTGGGGGCTACTGTATGCAGCTCCTCAGACAGGTGACACTCACACAGATCACAATGGTCCTAGCCAGGGCTCTAAGCCTAGGGGGACGCCCCATGGCCTGCTACTCAAGAGCACAGAAAGTCAAATCCACAGGATGACTCAGTGCTGTGCTGGTTGGGTGGAGTGCTTCTGAGGGACTGTGGCTCCCCCTTCTCCTATTCCCCAACATCTCTCAGGTCCTGTTACCTTCCATGCAAAAGATGTTCTTGGTCCGACATGCATCCTAACCAAATCCAATTCCCCAACATATTCCGGTGGAAACAACTGGTCCATGTTCCAGCATATGATGCCATAGGATGGCATTACC